TGGTAAGGAATGGCTTGAGAAAAATCTCTCCTAGTCTCCCATCTCTCAACTGAGGAGAAAAGAGGTCAATAATTGACCTTCTCCCTCTAACCTAGTGAAATATATTCACCAGAAATGCTTCTTACAGTGATGAGGCACCATGCGTTGGTTTTTTATTCATTCTTCTGAAACTTGAAGCAAAAAGCTTGTGATTGTCAATTTTTCAGGGTTTAGTGATTAAGTTTTTGTGATAAGACATATTGAAAGTAGAAGCCAAGTCAGCCTTTTCCCTACCTCTTCCTTCTTGCTAAGTGACATTGGAGTAGTTACCTTAAACTTTGACCTTAGCATTGAAATAGCTATGGAAAATGAGAATTACAGAACCACTATTCTTACCTTAAGCTGCCTATATCTAGATTTTTTTATGTGAAAAAAATAAGATGTCTTATGATATTCTTATTTGTGACTTATGGCAGCTAAAGCTAATTTTCTCATTTAATATCATTTGATTGGGCTGAGCAATAGCACAGCAGTAGCGCCCCTGCCTTGCACACGGCTGACCCAGGTTCAATTCCTCTGCCCCTCTCGGAGAGCCCAGCAAACTACCGAGAGTATATCGACTGTAGGGCAGAGCCTGGCAAGCTCCCCGTGACATATTCAATATGCCAAGCACAGTAACAAGAAGTCTCACAATGGAGACTTTACTGGGCTTGCTTGAGCAAATCAATGAACAACGGGAGGACAGTGCTACAGTGCTACAATATCATTTGATCAGCACAAATAAATGTGTTTAACAATAAAGAATAATAAAGAATAATAAGCTTATAGATAATAAGAAGTAGCCATAAACACTGAAATGATTTTGGAGGAGATATTTTATTTTTATTTAAAAATTTTCTTGGGGCTGGAGCAATAGCACAGCGGGTAGGGCATTTGTCTTGCATGTGGCTGACCCGGGTTCGATTCCCAGCATTCCATATGGTCCCCTGAGCACTGCCAGGAGAAATTTCTGAGTGCATGAGCCAGGAGTAACTACTGAGCATCACCAGGTGTGACCCAAAAAGAAAAAAATTCTTATTGAACTACTGTGATTTGCAAAGTTATTCATAATTGAGTTCAAACATTCAATCTTCCAACACCAGTCCATCATCAGTATGAACTTTATAAATATTTTAAATAGCAAATTTCTGATAGTTAAAAAAGAGATCAGGTATCAGTGTTAAGCTATTTTTGAGCATTTATTGATCATTTGTGCCCACAGTTTTATTTTGCATACTGGTCACACACTATTCAGACCGTCGGCCTTTAAGAGAATTTGGAAGCAATGAACCAATACTTAACCTTTTCAACTTAAATTCAAAATCCCCCAAAGTGGCAAGACTACAATTTCATTTCCCTTCTTCAGAAAAATGATGTGAGTCAGAGATGGGAGAAGAATGAGAGAAGGGTTTCAAAGAGACTGGCTTCTCTGATCAGGCTTAATGGTGGGAAGGAGGCATTCAGTGACAACAGGATACCTCAGAAAAATGTAGTGATTTTTGAAGTCAATGGAAATTGCTCTCTGTTTCCTATCTGTAACCCTGAGAGTTCTCTAGGTCTTCATGGTTCAGAAGTTCAAAGACGGTAATTGATTGAAGTATCAAGGACAGAAATGGGTTCTACAGCGCCATGGGATTTCCTGTGCTTTCGGTGATGCCTGGAGAAAGTGACTCATGTTCTCACATTTTCCAGATAGCAGTGGCATGAAGAGAGGAGAACAAGGAGTTCTAAAGAGTTGTTGAATTTTGAAGGAGTCTGGGGGTAGAAAATTGATGATGGTTGTGTGGAATAACTTTGACTGGGGAACCATGGTTTAGGATTATGAAAAACTGTGCATTTCAATAAGTTATCACCAAGTAGGTAGAAAAAAATCACACAGAATGTGTCTTTACAATTAAATTGAATAATTCGTACAGTTTCTTTCTTTAAACACTTTAATAGTGATCTGAGAATTCCATGCCAGTATGGGTAAAAAAAACTAATAAAGGTTATTCCAAAAGCAGAGCAAAAGTCAGAGAAAGTAGGGAGAGATGACATCTATTTAGGACTGAATGTTTAGCCTTGGTAGAGGAATACACTTTAGATGAAATTTGGAAAAGAATACTTTTTAAATTTGAGAGTTTCAATTATATAATCTTTCAATCATATGTTTTGCTATCTGGAATGATAGCACAGCGGGTAGGGCGTTTGCCTTGCATGTGGCCGATCCGGGTTCAATCTCTCCTCTCCTCTCCTCTCCTCTCCTCTCCTCTCCTCTCCTCTCCTCTCCTCTCCTCTCCTCTCCTCTCCTCTCCTCTCCTCTCCTCTCCTCTCCTCTCCTCCCCTCCCCTCCCCTCCCCTCCCCTCCCCTCCCCTCCCCTCTCCTTTCCTCTCCTCTCCCCTCCCCTCCCCTCCTCTCCTTTCCTCTCCTCTCCTCTTCGCTCCCCTTCCCTCCCCTCCCCTCCCCTCTCCTCTCCTTTCCTCTCCTCTCCCCTCCCCTCCCCTCCTCTCCTTTCCTCTCCTCTCCTCTTCGCTCCCCTCCCCTCCTCTCCCCTCCCCTCCCCTCTCCTCCTCTCCTCTCCTTCCCTTTCCTTTCTTTCCCGTTCCTTCCTTTTTTGTTTCTCTTCCCTTTTCTTCTCTCCTCTCCTATCTTTTAATTAATTAATTAATTAATTAATTTATTTTTAATTTGAGAGGGTATACCCAGGGGGTTGTGTATAGGACTTACTCCTGGTTCTGTGCTTGAGAGACCATAAGCAGAATTGCAATCAAATTGGAGTAGTGCAAATTGGAGCATGAATGTCAACTGCCTTGCCCAATACTTTCTCTAAAGTGCCCAAATTGATTTTTCTTATGAGCTACACAATGTTTCTGCAGGTGGCACTGGGAAGGTAATTTTAGAGCAATATTTGATAGCATAAAGTATAAAGCCTTGAAGAACATATTTAATTTCAAATATTGCATATTTGAAAAACATAACACATACAAAATAACAAAAAATATTAGTTTCACTACCTGCTTAAGTAGCTACTGCTTTATATTTGATTTTTTGTTTGTTTTCAAATAATCCAATTGTTTCAGTTTTCTGTAGGATCATCAAAAATATAAATATCTTTTCTTCCTCTTGACTAGAGGTAATTTTCTTTCATCCTGTCTGTTTTGAAGCATTTTTTCAGATGTGTTTGAAAAAATGCTTTGCAGCATATTTTTTATCCAGAGAAACATTAATCAACTAAATGTACTATTTTCTAAATTCTTTTCATATGATATATTACCAAAAGAGAACATTTCCTCAATCTATCTGCCATCTAGAGCTGATTGGAACTCTTTGAAATAAAGATAGTGCATTTTTTGATCCTATATCATCAAAACCTGAAGAATTGCTATTATTATCATTCTGTTTATGCAATCATATGAAGTTGATATTGTAAAACTAAGGTTGAATAAACTTGAATATAGAAATTCACACAGTTCTGGAAAATTGGTGTCCTTGGGCATAACATTCAAGAAAGGAATGAAATCTTTGCCCAATTCTGAGACCCTGTCATGTGGCGTTGGGCATGGCTCACTAAAGTTTCTCAAGAGGTATTTGCTGAATTAAAATGTTAATGGAAGAATAGATGAACGTGCAGATAAAAGAAAATTGGAAGACATATTATGAATGGCAGACCAAAATAGAGATGACTTAAGGATCCATTTTCGAATTATCAGAAGATAGATCACTCTGATGAGGAGAAGGTCTGTCCCTGGTATTTATTTTCTGTCTGGTCTAATTGCATTGAATTGACATTCATGTCTAGACATAACCAGAAGAACTCTGAGTAACAGATATGAAACTGGTTTATTAATCCCCAGTGAACTTGAAATACATAAACCTTGCTTGGAAACTGAAGGCAAATGTTCTTCCCCACATTACAACAAAGCAGGGTGAAATTTTAAGTGACTGTTTTTTAAGCAGAACTTATGCTTTGTCACTTGTAATAAACCTCCTGAAACATGCAGTGCTCAGGGCTTACTCCTGACTCTGAGCTCAGGAATCACTTCTGGCAGACTTGGGGGACCATATGGGATTCCAGGGATGGATCCCAGGTCAGCCATGTGCAAGACTCTAATCATTGTGTTATCTATGCTTCTATTGCTAAACGTTTTAAAAGAGAATTATGTAAAATGGAAAAATTAACCGTACTGACTTAAATATTTTTACTGAAAATTAACTAAGTGGTCATTAACTCCATATACACATAAAAATATTAGATGTCAAAAATTTTTGCTGGAGTAAGTAAAGTTTTAATTTTATTGTCAAGGTAATATTGAATTTCCTGTGTATATATATGTTTTAGGGAAATTAAAACATTTATAAATTAATGTTCTTAAACATTTCCTGAGATCCTTCTTTAATAGTAATTAGAGAGAGTATGTTGGCTGCGTGCAAGGCAAACGCCCTACCGCTGTATAGCACAGTGGTAGGGCGTTTGCCTTGCACGCAGCCAACATGGCTGACCCGAGTTTGATTCCTCCGCCCCTCTCGGAGAGCCCAGCAAGCTACCGAGAGTATCTCGCCCGCACGGCAGAGCCTGGCAAGCTCCCTGTGATGTATGCGATATGCCAAACACAGTAACAACAAAATCTCCAATGGAGACGTTACTGGGCCTGCTCGAGCAAATCGATGATCAACGGGAGGGCATTTACTTTACTTACTTACTAGAGAGAGTATACAAATAGTGCAGGGGTTAAGACACATATCTTGCATATTGTTGACTCTAGTTTTGTTAACACCTCATGTTACCTTGCCCTCCCACCCTCTGAAGATCTGGATGGTTCGAGGTACTGCCAGGGTGGCAGAGGTAATCCCTGGTACCACAAGGTCCGAGTAGCACTGCATTGTTGACCCTTGCATTGAATCACTTGGCCCCATTGGGAGGGGTCACCAGACACTTGTACAACTGTTAAGAAACATGCCAGCACCCAGAAAAGGGTAACTATAGATCGAAGAGGATTAGAACACAATATAGCCTTAAGAATGGCGGTGGTGGAGGTTATCACTCATTTTGTTCACATTTCCAAGGAATGGATAGGGTTGGAGCAATAGCACAGCGGTAGGGCATTTGCCTTGCACACGGCCGACTTGGCCAACCTAGGTTCAATTCCTGTTCCTCTCAGAGAGCCCAGCAAACTACCGAGACCGGCAAAGCCTGGCAAGCTACCTGTGGCATATTCAATATGCTAAACGCAGTCATAACAAGTCTCACAATGGAGATGGTACTGGGCTTGCTCTAGCAAATCGATGAACAACGAGAGGATCGATAGTCCTTAAGAGCTTAGCAGCACGTATTCTAGGTGTATTGCTCCCCCTAGCATGAGTGACAAAAACTAGGCGGTGACCAGTCTCTGTTCTCTTGCTTCATATTGTGGTAAGGCAGGATATTCAAAACATTTCAAAGCTATTTCAAAATTAGAAAGGGTTTTAAATGCTGTATAATATCTACCATACTGACAGCAAACTTGTGTGCTTTTGAACACCACTTAGAAAAGCTGTAGTTTTCTTTCTACAGAGAGTGATGTCAAATAGATAGGACCGATCTTAGTGAGTGTAGGCTGGTGTGGGACCTAGATTTAAAAATAGAAGTGTCCTGACTAATCTGTTATGTTGGCAACAGAACTAAAGACTATAGATTGATGCTTGTGAAGATTCGAGAAAATTAAGACAAGCAAAGACAGATTTTCCTTTCACCACAGCAGTTAAGATGAATCCTTCATTCAGTCAGTACCATAAAAAAGTTTATTTAGATTTTTGGGTATAAATTCACAAATGAAATGTATCTTACTTAAAATAAAAAGTCCTTAAACATCAAACAAGAAAATAAATGCTTTTTTTCCACTGGAAGAAATACAGTTGAGATTTTTCTGACAGTGTTCTCTGTTCTGGGGGAGAGGAAGTTCCTGAGAGGAGGTGGGGAAAGAGGCAAAATAAACTCAGTTCTATAGAGTATTCCTAACAGAACTCTGGCTCTGGCATTTGTCTCTGGAGAAACAGTTGAATTATCATGGACAATTTTGCCAACCATATGTTTTCAGAGTTTTAGCATTTTTAAAAGTTAGATCATATGTTTCCTCTGTTTCATTAATCTCTAATGAGGACTACTTTCACACCAGGTTTTTTTTTTAAGTTGGTGAATTGGATGATCTATTATAAGAATGTACATTCTTGAATAAAAAGGAAGAAAATTAAGCATTATGTTCCCAATGATGTGACACTCAAATGAAGACTCAAGTATTAAAGGAATTAACAAAGGTACTTTATTTTATAGAGAATTTTGCAGTATCCATGCAGAGCACTGAAAAAAGGGACATTCACAGAGGTTACAAAACTCAAGTAACTTGGTAGGAAAAAAAACTGTTCATTGAGAAATAAGAAGAGAATGTAGATAAAGGAGGCAGAATGAGGAAGGGGAAAGCAGGAGGAATGACAGTAAGAGAGCCAGACCTAAATTAGTTTTTGCCTTCAATATATGGACTTCTATTTCAATGAACACTGGGATTTGCTAGAACTGACTGATACTGGCTCTCAGAACAGACTGTGTGCATATATTCCCAACTCTTCTCAGTCAAATCACTTACATCACTTCAAACGACCATAGTGATCTTTGAAAGCATTGGCATTACACAAATCAACAAATATTACAAACAAGATAGCCTTAATCTGTCTACATCTCAGCTACTTGTAAACTAGCTTGCCCTGGTTGACTTTGAAACTCTCAACCAGTATATTAACAAATAGCAATATAATTAAACAGGAACAACTCATGGATTCAATTTAAGATTTCAAGGGGATGGAAGGAGAGGTAATCATGAGGGGAGTCAAGGTTATTTGAAAGGCTAGTTATCATGTTTTCTTTTTTTTTCTTTTCATTAGTGAGACATCATGAGGTACAGTTGTAGACTTACAAATTTTTGTGCTTGGGTTTCAATTATACAATGATCAAATACCCATCCCGCCACCAGTGCCCATTTCCCACCACCACGGATCCCAGTATCCCTCCCACTCCCCATCCCCCCCATCCTATCCTGGCTCTGTGGCAGGGCATTCCCTTTTGTTCTCTCTCTCTTATTGGGTGTTGTGGTTGCAAAAGAGGCAATGGGTCACAACCCTGTTTGGTCTATAGTCTACTTTCAGCATGCTTCTCCCATCCTGGGAGGTTCCTCCCAATACCTTTATTTGGTGTTCCCTTCTCTATCTGAGCTCCCTTTTCCCCTAGCATGTGTGGCTGGCCTCCAAGCCATGGAGCAGAATTCTTGGTACTAATCTTGGCCACTCTTGGGTGTTAGTCTCCTATTTTGTTGCTTTATGTTACCCAGATGAATGCAATCTTTATATGTCTATCCCTTTCTTTCTGAGTCATTTCGCTTAACATGATACTTTCCATGGAGCGATAGCACAGCGGGTAGGGCGTTCGCCTTACAAGCGGCCAACATGGCCGACCCGAGTTCGATTCCTCCGCCCCTCTCGGAGAGCCCGGCAAGCTACCGAGAGTATTCGATATGCCAAACACAGTAACAACAAAGTCTCCAATGGAGACGTTACTGGGCCCGCTCGAGCAAATCGACTATCAACAGGAGGGCCTTTACCTTTACCTTTACCATCTTTTCTAACAGCTACATAGTACTCCATTGTGAAAATGTGCCAACGTTTCTTTAACCAGTCATCTGTTCTCGGACACTCAGTGTTTTTCCAGATTCTGGCTATTGTAAAGAGTGTTGCAATGTTCACTCTTAAAACAACACAGAGAGGTATGTCTAGTGATGGAGATGATTGGAGGAAAAACACCAGGTGTGGGTCAGGGTAACCTCATTAATGTAAGATGTGGGCAGACCTTAGAAGAAAGATTAGGTAGCTTCTCCTAAGATTTCCTGCATTAGCCAGAAGCAGATCATATTTTTTATATAATTTATTTATTTTATTGAATCACTGTGGGAAAAGTTACAAAGCTTTCATATTTAGGTCTCGGTCATGCAAATATCAAACACATTTCCCTTTACCAATACTTATTTTTCACCACGAAGAACCCCAATAAACCCCCACCCCCACCCCTCCCAATGCCTGTGAGGTAGATGAATTCTAGTTAACACTTTATCTTCTTTGACTAGATTCATTGTTTTGATAAAAGATGCACCATTATTATTTAGAGTTTACCCCCCCCCCTCCAATCAGACATGCTGAAAAGGCATTGTGAAATGATTTGCTTTCTACACTGGGTTCAAGAATCAAATGATGTTGCGCGGCCTGCTATTTTACTTATTAACCCTGGAAGTATTTCTATTGAGAGTCAGATAATTAAGAGATTGGTTTCTGTGCTCTGGAGTCGTGGCCGTGCTGGAGAGCCGCTTGTGGGGGGCAACTGGTGACCTCGGTAGGGCGTGAAGGACGGGCCGGAACACCCCCCTTCCCATGAGGTTTTAGTTGCCCCAACACCCCCGGCTCATACCTGCTCTCCACAAGGCTCCCATGTGGCCACCATCTTTCTTTCCAGAAGGGGGGAGGGCGGAAGGGAGCAACACCCTTTCCCCTCCGGGCAGACATGATGGCGTGGATTAACGCATAGTCTGTTCACTTTTCAGAAGCAGATCATTTTTAGCATGTTGAATAAAATGTGTGTTAAGGAGTAGATATCCCAGGGACAAAGGTATTTAGGCTGTGTGTGGGTTTCTTAGTCCTAGCTCTGTGCATCATCCATCATCACCTGAGCCAAGCCAGAGTTACCCCTGAGCACAGTAAGGCGTGACCCCCCTAATCTATCCCCCAAATGTAGAATGAAACATAAATTACAATGTGATTGCTGAAAACTAAGTGAAATATGTAGAGATACTTATCATAAAGAGTAAGCAAGCTTTTCAATTTAGATTCAAATCAATTTTATAAGATCTGTTATCATTGTTGCTCATAGTAACTAACTTCTTTGAGGTATCTCAAATGTGCCAGGTACTGGGCAAATTACTTTGCCTACATTATGCAATTTTTATTCATGAAAACTTATTTGAAGTATGAAACTATTCTAATTAAAAAATAAATTAATATTGAAGATCACTTTACAAAAGCTTCTTTGACTAAAACTAAGAGTTCTATATTCTTTCAACAAAATAGTCATTATTATAAATATGATGCTCAGCAAATGTTTGATGATTTAAATTTAGTTTGGTTACTTGAGCAAAAGAAAATGGGGGATATTATATAGATAATTAATTCAAATTACTTAAAAAATATACACTCCTGATGAAAATAACTATTAATCAAAGTATTCTGTACAAAAGAATGACTATGTTCTAATTAGTTTAAAACCACTGTTTTTAATTATTTATTTAAGAAACAACTTAAGAATATAGTGGAAGTCATGAATCTTTCTCTCATAATAACTCTTGCTGAATGAAATTTTTCCACAAAATTTTGGTTGGCCCACACAAGATTCTCTGAGGTTTCTGTGGACCTCATGTTAGGAAGCTCTGTTGACTTGTGTCTGACATAAATATTTATTTGTCACCATGTAACATCCATCCCTAATATGTGGATAATAATGCCTCCAACAGGATAAAATATTATTCTAACATGGTGGGCAAAAGGTACTATTTTATGTAAAATTTATACTCACATATAGTAGATTAATTTATTTACTATATATCTGTCATATTAACACTTCAAGGAAGAACTGTTTATAAAAGAAAAATGTTCAGAGATTCTTCTTAGAGAAATGATCTTGAAAGATAGGTAAAAAACATCTCTCTATGAAAATTTGTATTTATTTGGCTTTATCATAAATAAGGTATAGAAGTTAAAAGTGAAAGACATTTAAGATGATTTTGGGATATATTAATCTTGCAAATAGCCAACATGGCTGACCCGAGTTCGCTTCCTCCGCCCCTCTTGGAGAGCCCGGCAAGCTACCGAGAGTATCTCGCCCGCACGGCAGGGCCTGGCACGCTACCCATGACGTATTCGATATGCCAAACACAGTAACAACAAAGTTTCCAATGGAGACGTTACTGGTCCCACTCGAGCAAATCGATGAACAACGGGAGGACAATTAATCTTATTTGTAATGCTGA